AATGTTAATATAGAGCTCTAAGAAAATCAAAGGCTAGATTTTAGAGGATCCAAGAGGGAAAGACCCAACTCCCACAAACACTTGATGCAGCTGATCTCGAGGTAGATATATACTATTGAAGAGCAGTTAGGAGACATCCACTTACAGAAGACCTAGCAATGATCTAAGTTTGATAATAAGTTTGATATCTGTGCTACAGCAGAGTAGTTGCTGCGAGAGAGAACTGAATGATCACAGGTCTGGCAAACATCTCCAAAAACATCTCCAAAATACCAACAAACAAGTTGTTTGTTTTTATCTCCTCTGTATAATGAATGCATTTTACAAGATGATTGTCTTTTAAAGTGTTTTCATTTCTCCAAGCATGCATGAGAAGAGAAGCAGGGAGAGACTGTGTCGTGTTCCCCTGTGTATTTTAGCACAAAGTAAAGTCAGGACAGTTGCATAGCAAAGAAATTGCCCAGAAAAGTATAACATTTGAAAAAATGGCACCACATAAGATAGAAGGATAATTGGGCAACCTGCATTAAAGGAGTTTATTCCAGGTAATTTAGTGCAGTAGAGGGGTCTAGGGTGCAGGATCAGAAATCTAAATGGCTTGAAATCACTTCCCAAAACAGATTATTTAGTATTTGATTAGGATATCTGGGCAGTAAGATACAGTGTTATGTCATTGCACAGCTGTGTGTGTTCCAGCCCAACAAAACCAAGGTGAGCAGATGCAACCACCTGACCCCCAGACAAGAGCATTTCTGCAACACAAGCTACTGAATTATAAGTCGCAGAATAAAAAAATACTCATTATGTTTTTAAATTACTCTCCGAGACTACTAAATGCTGTGTTTGTGGTAATGAACGAGGAAGAAACAGGAGCAACATTTAAAAAGAGTGGCTTGTATTCTGTTTTTCCTTTCTAAATGGGTGCCAAAAGTGACAACTGAAATTAACACAATATTTCACTCAACTTATTTTAATAAATTTTTAAAACTAGTATTAAAGCAGTACCTTTAGGCCAAACTTTTATAGAAAGGCCAGCTATTGAATAGGATGATGTGAACGAAAATACTGGTCTTTGAAGGGATAAAAATCAGCTTTTGAAAACCATAGCTGCTTCTGGAGCTGCAGGGAGAACATTTTCTTCGTGTCAATTTATATTTCATTTCCTTTAGCTCAATAGCTGATTCATTCAAGTTCAGACACTGACAAGGAGTTGAGAAGCAGGAATGTTTGTTTTCTCTCTTGCAAATGATCAGAGCAGACCAGCATTAAAGCACAATCCACTACATCTAAATCCTCAAGGGACAAATGGTGAAGAAACATCAGATTGATTAACTCAGGGAATTTTTCCTTTGTCAATAATTTATCAAGTTTTGAAGTACAAGATTTTCTGTACCTTTATTTTCTGATACATGCAATAAACTTCACATACCAAATAAACTGGCAAATAAAATACCTTCATAAACCATGTGGTTCTTGATTTTACTTGAATTATAATTTTCATCCAAAACACTTCGTCATGAATCATAAATTAAAAACATCATCACAGTAATTGGAAAGATCAAGCAGTATATCCTGAGATGATGCAGGGCAAACAGGGACAGGTAGAAGTCCTGATGACAATGGGGAGGCAACAGAGATTCTGCAGCTTTCACAAGTCCCAATTATTTAAGTCACACCCCTTTGCTCAATGCTATTTGGTTGAGTTGGAATGTAAGCCTTTTTGAGCAAAGTATGAGATGATTTATTAAAAGGAATCTATTGCCTCCCCATATCTTCTCTACAGATCTAGACAGCTTCCTAATTTGTATTTAATTACATTATTAAGTGTATTATTAAGAATGTGAACACAAACCATCCACAGAAATACATTCAAAAGAGTAATGTTTCCTTTATCACCAAAAATTACATTTCATATTCCTGCTGTGAAATAGATTTTTGCATGAGCTGAAATTGTGCCCTACCACAATCCCTGTTCCCCATGTCCCCAGCTGGCACACTGGAGCATGGACCACTTTCTGATCCTACAAATGATATCCTAGTTATAAATAGCATTAATTAAAGAATCAGAGTCATGGTATGCAACCAGGCACCACTGATTACCCTGGTCCTGCATGGTCTGCTCAGAGCAAAACCTCCCCTGAATAACCCAGGCTTCCAATACAAACTCTAGAAAGAGGCATATTAAAAAAACAGCAAGGTGACAGGGTTTATGGGAATAGAGCAGACATTTCTCTGGATGCAGATATTTCCAAAAGGACTGTACTTGAAGAAAATAATAAGGAATGGCAAAAAAAACCCTTGTTTTATCTACATTCTAACTCCCAGTCCCCCAAAGACTTAGACTGATGGTTCACTTCTATGAATGGGGCTTTTCAAATTGCTGCATTCTGCCCCAAATCCTGCAGCCAGCCATTCCTGCTGGCAGGTTTCCAGCAACCTCCAAGTAGAGAAGGATCTGGGTTTTACTACTGACTAGTCACCAGCTGAAGCTTGGGCCATATGAATGGGGCCCCCTCTGACAGCCTTATTAACACAAATGATTTTTATTCTGCATGCCTGGGTAAGCCATGGGCACATGCCTGCAAGATCAAAGCCTTGGTCATTAATAACTTGGGCAATCGTTTCACCTAGAAGCCACACTCTGTCTACACAGAAATCTTTCCGGGAATCTGGTAAAAAGATTGATGAAAATTAAACATCTACTTAGTGAAGCTGAAGTAACCAATATATGATTAATACTTTCCAATTATATTTCAGTACAGTACATTGCTGAGTTTGTTATTACCTGCACTCTTAACACTCCATCTGCAGTGTTAAATCCATCTGTTGCTGAAAATATGACTATATCTTCAAGGGTTTCTGAATCATCGTGCTGGTACCTTTTAACATAATTATAATGAAGAGTGATATTCATTATCCAGCGGAAATTAGAAACCTATAAATATGAGGGGAGGGGAGCAAGGGAAGAGCTGAGGTCCTGCATTGCCCACTGTCTCAATTGATCATGTTGGCTGCTCCCACTTGAAATATTGCTGTGGGCTCTGGATTTAGCACCAGCAGTTCCACTGGTTTCCCTCGTGTTTCACTAACACCTACCATGGGGACCTGGTCCCTCAGCTTCACTCTGCCAGATGGAGGTGGGCAAAAGAAAGGGTTTCATGACTGGCATCCACATCAGGGTATGGAGACAGCACAAACCTAGACTGTGCACCACAGCCAAAGCTTCTGGTGGAGCAGAGCACCAAACCCTGGGAATTCCTCACCTGTACAAGGAGTAATGGTGTCCTTATCACATGGGTTGTTGCCAGCTGAGATGGCAAGAGAAAAGTTCCAGTAATTTCTACCTTTGAGAAGGATTTAAAGCAGAGTGTGCTATATCTAAACACTCAGATATATTGTCTGAATAAATAGATCATACTCTTAAACATAGATGTTAAAGAACCTCCTCTTTAATACAGCAACAGCTGGTTTAAATGTGCCTGCAGGTAACAGAAGGGAAAGCTTATGCCAAAGTCCTCCCTGAACTCTGCTCCCCTCCACCTCATTCCCTCTGCCCTATTAGGATCCAACCTCACAAAATCACAAAGCTCGTTTTTAAAACAGTTTTTTAAAAAATATAAATTTTCAGACACCATTACTCACTTATGGATAAGATATAGGCTTCACTTTTCTCCCAATATTCCACAGCAGTTGGTCTAGTTTTGAGACTCTGGGTAATAATCATCTGCAGAGAATTTTAAATAAAGGACCCAAATAAATTAACTGATTTTAAAAGCCTGTAAACAAAGATCCTTCACCTTGCCAAGTCCATGCAGATCAATGAAACTGGACAGAGGAAGTTTATTACCTAGAAGAAACCTTCAGATCCTCATGGAAACATGAAGGAGTGATTTATTTTGCTGCATCCAGAGGGACCTTACCAGGATTTAACCCTTCCACTTGCAAAACTGCCTGCACTTTGGGCCTGGAGGAGGTTCTCTGACGCTCAGCAGGTGTGTCTGTGCTTTTGGAATAGGAGGAATCTTCCTTCCCCTGCAGATTTAAAAGCTTGGCATGCGTGTCAGCTGATCCAAAGGCTCTGCCAGTCCCTATTTTAGAGTTTAACAGGACTGCCTGGAATCTAATGGCACAAGTAACCATTTCCAGTTCTCTGATGAAAGTTTGTGCTTAAAAGGCTATGGAGTTCCAACTTGCAAGACTAAAAGGATGAAAGAACACATAAACTACCGGGTGAGATGTTTCTTGTCCTACCACCACAATCAAAGCAGTGAGTGGAAAACCAGCTTAATGATGTATTTCTTCACATCATACTGATGGTAAAACACAGCCCATTGCATTGAGTAAAATTGTAAGCAGATAATGGGCAGTTTAGTTAATCTCCCTTGGCCTCTAACTCTAGTGGGGATGAAAAACTTTTTAATCTGCCTGCACCAGGAAGGCTTTATTCTCCTACATCTAGTATCCTCTGTGGGATAAAGGGGATAGTGCAGGGTCCTTAGGAAGCCGCAGGCTGTCCATGGGGCATAAGCTTTTGAAGAACATTATCTCTTTCTTAGGAGAAATTCCTGCCTCCTGGTGTGAAAGATGGACAAAAAAAATAGAAGAAGGATGAGGCTATCTGTCTGTCCAAGGTTGTTGAGTGAGAAGTGAAGCTGCTGTGCCTTCTCAACAATATAAGAGGACAAAGGTGCTTTCCCCTTTGACATTAAAACAAGGGGAAAGTTGGATGTTATCCCATTGTGGTGGTTTTCGAGGTTCATGGAATCAAGCTTTCTCATATCTGAAAGAAATCCACAGGGTTAATAGCCAGAGGCACACAGCTAAAGTGTGATTTTGAGAAAGACAAGAACAAGACAAAACAAAAAGAAAACACTGTAGATGGGTTGCAATATTTCTACAGAAAAGAAAATGGGCTCGGAGTTTTAAAAATATACTCCAAAAAAAAAAAAAAAAAAGCATAGCAATTAAAGCTACTGAGCTGACTGAGGAAGCTTCAGCATTGCTTTCCTCTTACAAGCTTTTATTGCTATTCTTTGGAATCTAATTGGTGATAATTTTCTTCTTGGAGTCTGACACAAATCTTACAAGTTACCAGAGCTACTTGAAAAAAAATTGGATAGGTTTAGCTTTATTTCTCTCCATAAACAATTTGCAATTGGAAGTATTGAAGTCTCTTGAATGCTTCCAAGACTTCAACTGCCTGTTATAATTTCCCAAATAATCCTTCCCTATGGTTGTATGTTCTTCACTACAAGTACCTCACTTCTTTTCTGCTCTCCTACTGGTCTGGACAAATTGTTCTTAGGGCAGTGTTTAACCATTTAGCAGAAGAATATAGTCTTAAGCATTATAAGCTTTACACAGCACACTCAAAATTCACCCTGCACAAATATTCATTTAATACTGGCAGGAATTTTGCTGATCCCCTTAACCTACCTTGGATTTTAATATTTGCTAAAACACTTAACAAAGAATGCATGCACACATACAAACCCCAGGTGAAATAAATTTGATGAATAATTCTCATTTGTGGAGAAAATGCTTGCCTGGCTCTTTTCAAGGAATGCAAGCACTTTGAACAACTTTATGCTCTGACTCTAGCAGGAACTTACTAAATGGTACAATTCAGGAACATTTAAAACTATAGGAAGAAGTCGGGCAATAAACTCGTGGAACCAGCTGCAGGGTAAATAATACAACAACAGAATCGACAAATCTGGATTTTTCTATCAATGTCATGGAAAGAACTCACCAAGGTAGAAAACACTCCATAGAGGGAACTTTCCTGTCAGATGGGTCAAAGTGCTGGCAGGGAACAGAAACACCAGTGTTGTGTATAGCTCACAATTTTCATTTTCTGTTGAATGAAATAAGATGTGGGGTTTGACTGGTTTGGCACAGAAATTGCAAATCTCTTTCTCTGAAGAGTCAGAAGTGAGTACACTCTGTCTGCCATAGGGAGCAGATATCCAGGAGCTTGAGCAGGTCTTTGGAATCCATTGTCCATTATCAAAAAAGCTTACATGGCTGGAAAGTAATGGTGTCCACACAAGACAAATTTCAGTGAAACATCACGAAAATCACTGATTTTGGCCCTCTTTTCAAGATTCATAGAGAAGATGTCAAATATCTGCACTAATAGGGAACGTTATTCTTTACAGTGAGGCTGCACAATGTTCAACTCCCCCTTAAAACAGTGGGAAATGGGATTTGAAGGGTGATGCCAGACTTCTATCTAGGCTTAAAATTCTACTTTTGTGCTCATTTGGTGTATTTAATGTAAAAATTTAGATTTCAATAAGCATCATTTGTTGTCGTGCCTCACTGTTTATAAAAGCGGAGCTTTTAAAAAGTGATAATAATTGCAAATGATGTCAAATTCTTTTCTTGTTTACCTGAAAGATGTCAAGAATAGCAGGACTTGTTTTGCTTTGTTGGTTTTTAGCCTGCAAAAATTAGCTTCCCCACACTGTGAAAATTAGTAAAAGGGAAAAATAAATGTTACATCTTTTCCCTATCACCTTATAAAGTGTAATTCAGCTCGACAGTTTCATATGTACACAGGAGAAGTGAGAGAAACAAAGCACTAACAGCACACGAGCTGATTGTCTGGAGATTGGGCCTCTGGAGAGTGGAGCTGATGCCTGGTGATGGTGCAAGTTTCTTTAACGACAGGTTGTGTAGTTCCAGGCTCCCTCTTGCTCATGTAACACAAGGAATCAGTCTTAAAGATGGCTGAAAAATATGGAAATCCAGCATATGGTATCTGACCACTGACTGATCCCACTCTGCCGGTACCAGCTCAACTCTCAGCTCAGCAGTTCATAAAAATTCTATTTCAATGATGTTTTTTTCCAGTGGCTTGATATTTCTGTTCATTTTCTATATTCGTTTAAGTGTTGCAAAGAAGCAAATTCAAGCAGCATATCTAAAGAAATGAAGGAAAAAAAAAGTCATTTGGTCTTTTTGCTTTTGCTTTCACCTATTTTAATACTGGTAAAAATCCAGAGAAATTCTGTTAATTTTAATCAATTCATTCATGTAAAACAGGAACTGGGCATAAGAAACATCATGTTATTAGAGATGAGCAGCTCCAGCCATCTCATTCCTGCACAATTTCCTATTATGCAATAATGTGCATGGCTTTCACAATATTAAGAATGCTATGTCATTTAAAAAAAAAAAAAGCCATACTTATTTGAGCATCAAAAATTAGGAGGTTCTTGACTATCAGATAAAATGAATTTAAATGAGTGCTGAAGAATCTCTTCTCCAAAATGTCAGTTGTAGACAAGGCTGTAGAACTGATCCCTTTGCAAACACATTGACACAGAGATATCTTAAAAATACAAGGTCCATCACAGATCATTTTAGTAGCCATTTGCTGTTTTTATTTTCTCTTATTACTCCTTTATTAATTCCAGCCCAAGGGAACCCTGTTCATCACACCAGGGGAGCAATAGCAGTTATGCATTGTCAGCTGTGTAGACAACCTACCCCTGACTCCCAAACATTTGTCATAGAATCATGGAATTGTTTAAGTTGGAAAAGGTCTTTAAGATCATCAAGTCCAGCCATGAACTCAGCACTGCCAAGGCCACCACTAGTCACTCCATTACTGAGCTGTATCAGGGACTGTCACCTCCCCAGGCTGCCACACCTGCTTGGCCCATCTGCAGTGGATTCCTTGATAATCCCACTAGCACTCGTTGGCTCGGTGGTTTTAGTGAGACTATAATAATCACTTGAAAAAAAACCATAAATAAAACATCAACATAGGTGTTTCAGAAAGAACCATCTCTTTTGCAAGCTTGAAGTTGACACTGTTCATCATGAGCAGCAGGTCCTCATTTGTTTTTGGGATGGCAACAGAAATCCTTTACCTAACAGGAAACCAGTGTCTAATGCTTTGCCTACCATCAAATATTCTTTAAGCCAATCCTCGGTTGTGTCTCTCATCGTGCTGGAAATAGGCAACTGCATCCTCAATGTTTTCAAACTTGAGGCTTTTGCCTCCTGTTATATAAATGCAGAAAGAAAGTTACCATGTGCTCTTTCTATCAACACAAATTACCAATAACATTTTCAGATTTAAGCAGAAGAGACACACGTCTTCTGTTCACCGTGTAAAGGCTGGATCCACTAAAAACCAACAGGAGCCTTTTCGTTCACTTCAGTGAACTTTAGATCATGTTCCAAAGAAGTGACATTATTATTTTTTCACCCTCAAATATACATTGGGCTGTTCTTAGTAACCAGCCTGAAGTCTGAAGAGTTTCACTGCAGAAATTGCAAAAGATGTGAAAATATTATGGTTTTTTTTTCAGAAGAATTTCTATTAATTTTTCTAGGATACATGCAGAAGAATCAAACCTTGCTTAGGGAGATTACAAGGATAAGTTTTACAAGAAAAATAGTGCTTCTACTTTGTAGACATTGCATTGCATCCCCTAGATCAGCTCACATCTGACACAACATATCCCACACTGTGATCCTTCCGTGTTGGGGATGGATCACCAGGAGCCAGACAGGACTCAGGTTATTGTCAGCAGCCTGTAGCATATCATAGAATCATTGAGGTTGGAAAGGACAACCCTCAACCAAGTATCCCCACACCCACTACACCATATCACAAAGTGTCACATCTCATTTTTTAAACACTTCCAGGGATGGTGACTCCACCACTTCCTTGGGGAGCCTGTTTCAATGCTTGACCACTCTTTCAGTGAAGAAATTTCCCTAATATATCCAACCTGAACCTTCCCTGGCACAATTTGAGGTCCTTTCCCCTTGCCCTGTGTATTCTACATAACAGGGCATGGGCATTCTACAGTTATACACACCTGTGTATAACAACTGCAGAGTGATGATAAGGATTTACATTGTTCTTCACAAAGAGCTACACAGCAAAATACAAGATGCCAGCCTTCTTGTATCCAATTTAAGAGGCTGATTTGGGGAAGGGAGGTTTTATAATGTTTATTTGATCCTGGAGGAACTATCCTGTCACCACACCAATAAATTTTGGGTCAAATAGCACAACAATTTCCTGTATCAAGGGAATTGTCATGGCAGCAGGTGAGTAAGAGTGACAGCTTTCTCCATGCAGCCAGCCTGCCTGCTGTGAGCCAGGTCTGCATGAGCCTTGTGTCCTTCCAGACCAATATGTTAACCAGGAAATTTGATCTTTGGAGTAGAAACATAACTCAGAACCAGAAAGAAACAAAAAAAATGTGTGCAAACAACCCTCAAACTGATGAATTTAAAAACATATATCTTTTTTTTTCCTTAATCACCTATATTGTGAGTAGGAAAAGATACTAGATTAGAGTAACAGTAGAGTACTGAACTATTCCCTTTCTCTTCCAACCCAAAACCTTTTCCAAGTACATTCCCCCTTTTAATTTAAGCAGAATGTATATGCTGTCATCTAAAATACACTTAAAAGAAATACTGCTATGTGTAGTATCACCTTTGGACTACTCTTAGCAGAACAGATTTTAAGTAAAGAATTTCTTCTCAGCAAAAGTTTCCAGGACATGTACGTGCAAATGAAATGTCCAGTGGATTTGTGTCATCCCAACACCATAAAAATAATAATTTTTTAATAGCCTGGCTGCCCAGTAACATTCTTTCAGAGTACATAAGCAGGCTAAAGGACCTCAAGATCACAGTGTATCTTCTTGTTCTCACTCTGAATGTTAAAATTCTCTTCACTGGTGAAAATATTGCTGGATTTTATTTTGCAAGTCATCAAAGAGTGCAAAGTTTCTTAAAATAAAAGCCAGCAAAGTCCAGAAAAAAGTCTCATATTTACAGGTTCTACACTGCAAGTCTCCAGAATTACACTTGAGTTTTTCACATCCTAGTTATTTTTGCTTAGAGGAGCTAAATGTAAAAGTACTTCGAAGAATGGGCTTTTACAGCATGTGAGAACTGTAACATCAGTGATGCAGTTGGACACAGCAGCAACACTGCAGGTACATGTGAGAACAAGCCAGACCCACTATAATTTACTTCCAGAAATTTCAGATATTTCAATACTTAAAAATTTGTGAATAATTAAGTGTCTTCAAACACTTCTTTGTCAGAGGTCTTCAGTGTTTATACTTCAGCAATCTGAAGGTTTGAGCATTGCTAAGCAAACTAAAGTACATCTCATTTGCAGTGAGGTAACTCCATGAGCAGAATTAGTTCCAAAAGAGAAGGACCACATCCAAGGTGTATTTTAAAAATCAGGTTTCAAAGAACCACAACTCCACTGTCCCAAATGTACCTGCACAGACATATTAACATGCATTCAAAAGCACCTTGAGCTCACACACTGAAGCAAGATCGCTAAGCCTTCAAACCCATATTCCACCCAACCTTGGGAGCTTCGGTCTTCAAATTTTTTATTTTTTATTTTAAAAAATGGGCTGCAACAGGAGAACTACTCATGAACACATTATCAGTTGCTTGAAGCTCAGCCTAGCAAAACAAGCAAAACAAACACTCCCTGAAAGATTAATGCAGCATTTGCTGACTGGCAAGCTTGCTTTGGATGTAGTACAGCAGTCCTGATTGCAGACAGCCCGGCTCCATGACTTCATAGACCTGTCTCCCACCATGAGACATGTCAGGAGGCAGGTACCAATTCCCAGATCATAGAGATCCTACCGAGTGAAGGATGTCATGGTTTCTGCATAGCTCTCCAAATGGGTGAACTATCCCTGTAGCACAGGGTTAGCAATATGAAATATTATTTTTTGCTTCAGTGTTTCTGCAGCTTCAGCATCTTGAGCCGTGGCAGTAAGTGCGCAAGGATGAGCTGATGAGCTTCTAAGCTGAAACAGAGACAAATGTAGCTTCATGTTGTGTTTGTAGTATCTCCCTTTATCGGGACATAAGTCCAAACATTTTCTGTTTACAAATAAGAAAGCCCAGGAATCTTTTGCATACATATTAGCAAGGGCATGGGAATTCCCAAAGGAGGGCGAGTGCACATGAGTGGGTGTGTGTATATATAGACATCAAGCATCTCTTAAATGCATCAACAAGTTACTGGGATAATGCTAAAGAATTAACAGTTAAACACAACAATTATCTTCTAAGCTTTGCCTCAGACAGTCAAGAATCTTGTCCCAACTGATGTGGCTGGCAAACTTCCCATTCAAAAGGCCATGATTCTCCGATCGCCTCTTGAACAACTGCACAAAGAAGGGTGATACATAGGTTAGCAGAGATGCACAGAACAATTCAATCATGAATTTCCCAGATTTTGGCACTTGTTTTTTATTAGATATGTCAATTAAATGTAGGAAGACACAACATGAATGAAAAGCCCTTGGAAACTTCAAAAGCTCAGCTTGCACCCATTCATCCAGCTTGGATTCTGAATGGAAAAGATGCATACACCCTTCACAGGGGAGACAACCCACAGGGTGTTTAAATTCCACAATAGTAACTTGTTTTTGTGCAAAACTGGCCATAGATACTTTAGATAAAGGCCCAGCTGGCAGACAAAACCCCTCACATTAGCAAGCTACCACTCCTCTACTTTTTAGAAATAAAATTAATCAAGTTCAGATTTTTCCCATCAGTCCCCTTTCCTTCTTGATTTTTTCAGATTTTTAGGTAAATGCTCATCTTCCTCTACCACCATTTGACCTAAAGTAGCAAGAATGTCCCCAAAGCCATGACCCATGCTGGCAGACTGTACAGTAAACAAAAGCCAAGATGCTTCTGTCCTCTCTGTCAGATGTGCCAAGCAATTCATGGAATTCCAGAGGCATTTGTCCAACGGGAGGAATACTTGACTCCAGCTTCCCGATCTCTACGTGAGGAACAAATTTTTCTATGATAGTCTCCAGTTCAGTAAACCTGAAAGCAGAGGATTTATTACATGCAGGATCAAGAAGCCCCTCCTTTGATCATTTATACAGTGGTCTGTGAATGAATGCATTCAGAACCCAGCTCCAGCACACTCAGAAATATTCATGGACTCAGCCAAGAACAATACCCTGAATCCTCATTGGAGAGCAGATCCTCTGCTGGGGAATGTCACAAGGAAACTTGGTTGACTTCAGTGGGAAAACAACAGTTTACACAAGTTAGTAACAAGAATGTTACCTTTTTGCACACTGAGATCTTCTTCGTAAACAGTGCTTTAATACACATCTGTAAGCTGGATAATAAACACTTCAGATAAATCACAGGGAGGTTTAGAGGGTTCTATGTGCTCTCTCAAGCTTTCAGTTATAGAGCAGAGGCCAGAAGTCAACACTGATTACACCTCAGCAGCAACTAACCATGATAAATATCAAAGTCACACATCTTTGGTCCATTTCTTTAAGCTCCCTGTTGTGTTTTCTGAAGAGCTCTCTTAAGACCTCTGCATATTTTATTCTGTGGTACTTACATACTTACCCCCCATGCTTGAGTAGGGCTGGATATACCCACTGAGGCTTGAAACATCAAGTAGGACTGCCAGAACATTTCTTTCTGCTGTAAATCAAATGGACAGTTCCACAGTGCCCACAGCAAGGTTTCCCCATGATCCAACCCCTCATTCAGCCATAGCTTGTCCCACAACTAGGACCGCACCTGCAAGTTTTTGGCACTTTGAAAGGAAACATTCATACAGCCCAAGCACTTGTGGGTTTAAGTTGTAGGAAAGTCCCAGCCAATTAGAGTTAGCCAAGGACATCAATGTTTGTTGAGGAGTTTTCTTTAACACTAACTACACTAAGGTGTAGTTGCTCTTCTCATAGTAGCTGCCACAATTAGCAGCTGAGGTTATTTAGAAGGACATAAAAAATGAGGTAGTGGACAACTTCCAGGAGAGGTGAGCCTTTCAAAACCTCAGGTGACAAAAAAAGCAAGGACAACAATCACCTCCAGCTCAGTATTAAAACACAGAAGGAGGCATTCCTTTAAAAACCAGTTTTTCATTGATTCAGTGTAACTTTCTGGGCTTAAAATTTAAGGCACATTACCATAACTGAGCTCCCACCTGTAAGTTCTCAGTCTTGCACCATCTTCTTCCAAAAAATGGTCAACCATTCATTGACAGTACACTTTACATCTTAGTGGCAAACTTCGTGTTAAGATAAATGGTACGAACGAGCTGGTAAAGAGAAAACCCAATCATTATTTTACCAGCCAAATCCTACAGTGTTGGCTCAGGAGGCACCTGAAATTTTGCTTACATAAGTACTGGAGGCTTGAGCTCATGTTAAAACCACCTCAACAACATTTTAAGTTTTAATAGAATAACTTTCATGTTATAACTTCATTCAATCATTCATGCAGTCATAATTTAAGATAGGAAATAAAGAGGAAAAAATTGCCTTTGTACAAGTTATTCTATTAAGGACTGGAATATTAATGTTATTGGATACATGAAACCCTGTGCAACCATGGAAACCATTGCACAGGCTCCAGTCAGCCTCCAAAAATGAGCTATGGCCTATGGTTGCTATGAGAGGATATAGCACACATCCCTCAGCAGTTCTAGTTAGAAAGTTCTATTGTGCATTTGTCTACACTTCATCTCAGCATAAAGCTATTTGTGGAACAGAGGTTAAGGAGAGGGTTCTGAAATCTGAAAACATACCTTTCAGATTAATCTAGGAAATCAGATGCTGTTTTGCAACAGTTGGGGCTTATTTGTGACAATTTAACTGATGTCTTCCCTTGCTCTGAAAAGATAAAAAAGGGTATAATGAATTTGACTTGGAGAAGTTAGGAATTATTTTATGTTCCTGAAACATATAAGTATCCTTTCCAAGCTCATCTTCAGCCCAGTCTTACTACAGACCACCTGGTGATAAAGAAACACTCTCCCTAGATCCTGCTCTTTTGAAAAAAAATTAAATTGCAAAATTTGAAGGAAAAATATTATCGGAAATCTTCTAAAACACAGTAAAGTCAAAAATGTAGCTATCATTTAATCTATTATGTTTTCTCATTCAGAGAACAATTACACTAGGAACAATTACATGGCAAATAAAAGCATCCCAACATACTATAAAAAAGTCTGAAAATCAAACAGAAGTTTTCTGAAAGGTTTATGAACTCTCATTTGAGAGAATGACATCTGCTAACAGGATGGGTTGGGAAAAAAATTGCCTGTGAAAAACATGGAACTTACCTAAACCAACACTTGCACTTTTGTTTAAAATGAGTTATTAAGTCTTCAAAAGCAGTGATCTCTGCACCAGCTCCTCTGGCAACAGCTCTCCCCACACCAATTTTCCATGCCCAATGCGCTGTCCTCAAACCACCTCATCCCTCTTGGCATAAGAATGATCCCATATCCAAAGCATTCATTTTCCAATCTTTTGTGTCACTGTCTCATTTAAAACCTCTCTTCCTACCTTGCAGGACCCACTTTCTTTGGGAAGATCGAGCCGTAGTTCGGTCTCCGTATCGAACACCATCTGTCCCCTCTCTCTGCTGATGCCTGTTCTCCAAGAGAAATTTTGCTGTTTCTACATATGCAAGATGCACCAGAAATACCAGAATATCCAACTTGAGAATACTGAGCAGAGCTTTGATCTTCCGAGCCCAGGTGCCTCCTTTACGGTGGTTGAAGTGCTCAGTGGATGACAGGCTAACGCTTCAGCGTTCATGTCTGGGAGTCAAGAAACAGAGCAGCCTTTCTGTTCAAAGAAGGCTTGGAATTGCTTCCAGCTTTACTGCTCTCAGAAGGAGTTTTATTCATATTTCATTTTAAAGTCTATAAAAAATTGACCCAGTTTCCTCCAAGCTGTTGCGGGTGCATCTTGCTCCGTGTCACTCGGCGGCCCGGTGGCCACGGTCGAACAGCTCGCAGGTGTTGCAGGGTGTTAGATCAGTGTAGGTCAGCAGTTCACCTGAAAAGCGTTCAGCAGATGGAGATCACTCCCCTGGCACCCAGACAGCCTGAGGTCGCTCTGCATGGAGAGAAACATGCTCCAGAGAAGAAATACTCTACAATAAAATCAGGGGAGTCAGAAGCTGCTCACTTGAAGGTGTTTAAAACCATACACACAGCACCAAAAATGCTTATTCAGTTGTGGCAGTAACCAAAAATCACATAAAACTCATCAATTCTTAACTTACATAGCAGATGGCAGAGCATCCTTCTTCCCTCACTTTCGTTTAGTGGCCAGTTATTTTGGAAGACTCAAGCTCTGTGCTCCAAGGACAGTGCAAGACTCATATGTCCTTCACAGCCAAAGTGGTCCAAATCTATTTTGCACCACTTATGTCAAGCCTGGTTCACAGAGAGTGCTGCAACATCCACGGAGGATGTCACATCTCCTTGGAAAGTGTTGTCTAAAATTCCTCGGTGCCTCTTTCTTCATGTATGACTTTTCCAAGTGTGATCCTGATGCCTGCATCCTAGTCCTGCATCACACTTTGCTCTTATCAAGTGAAACTAATGCTGCTTTAATGCTTTCATAAAAGTGCTTTCAGAAAAGCCTGCATGGGAAGTACCAGGTAAATGCTCAGCTCCTGATTTACAAAGGATAACAAACCCCTCACCTTGGGCACTTACCTTGAACTTACAAAATAATCTTTCTTACGAAAAGCAGAAGTTGTGAATGTGCAGAAGGCAGCAAGGAAAATGCCAAGTTTGGTACCCTGGCTCTAACATCAGTACAATCATGACCCTCTTTTGGGTACATCATTGTTGTCATCTCCAACTATCCAGATTAAAGGGCTGCCAGGAATTATGAATCCAGCCATGCATGATCGGTTTATCAGAACTTTTAGATTTGGGATAATTAACACCATAATCCTCACTTTAAGCCAAACATAGAATCAGTCAGGTGTCTCAGGGATTGTAAGGACCAGCAAGGATGCCTCTGCTCTTTCAGGATCAGCATTATTTCAGAGACAGCTCAACTGAAGCTTTGCAGCACGTTTTCAGCTATAGCCTTAAGGTTTCAGTGTGAATTACTGTGGTGACATGCTGAAGCAGAGAGAAATGGCAGTGACCTGCAAGATACTGTTTGTAAGTGTGTTAACCCATTCGTACCCACAAACATGAGCATGTCTCATGGCTAAAAGCAAACTGTACTAGGCATCCTGCTTTAAGCAAGTCTCTGGAATTTTGGCCCATTGACACATACAAGGAAAAATACTTCGAAGTCATAAAAATCAGGGACATAAAATTTAAACCAAGGGCTATTTTTAATATTTGCATATTTTTAGTAGTAGAGCCTTTCTCCTACTTTCTACTTAAACCGTGTGTCACACAAAACTGAGTAGCTCTCAAAAACTGCATTTTTCTACATTGCAGTTACCCATATTTTCCCCAAGATGATATCACCCAAAAAAGCAATTGAGAAACTTCCATGTTTGGGGTTAGAACAAGCCTCAGCACTTCTACATTAGTGCTCCAGCAATATGGGGACTTTTCCTTGCTTTCTGATTTACTCACTAAAATATAGCAGACTACCTCACGGAAGTTGAGTAAATCTCCATTCTGGATGGCAAGATCTGCACTCTATTGAAGTCAAAATGACTTTTCCCTATTAGATACAAGTTGAAAGAGGATTTAATCTGCTTCCAGCATTAGGCTTTTGCACTTAATTGGGATTTGGTCATGCATTTGTATTTAATGTCTAAATTCTAACATTCTTAAGAGTCATGCCTGTTCCAAACTTCAAATCAATAGGTAGGTATGGCAATTGTTAGATCTGACCTAGGTTTAGGTAGCCCAAACTCTTATCCCTGCTATGTCCTATACATGTCCTTAGATCCTCAGAGCTGTGTAGGTAATATGGAATAGTAGTCACAGTAACTTAGAATTTAGGCCAACACAATCTTGCCTACAGAGCATCTTAAAAATGTGATGTATTTATGTGTGATAGATTGATGTAATATATAAAACACATTAGCTCTTGCTGTATTTAATAAATGCTGAGAGCTAGCAATATCAAGACAGATTTATGATTTCCCCCAAGCTTTGTTTCACCGGTGATAATCAAAAAAGACTTCTTGATTTAGACCATTTAACTGAATTTTTGTTCAGTGTGCACTTAATGTATATTTTAGTATATTTTTTCTTACTTTTAGCAAAATTGTATAGGTGCAGACACATACACAAATCAAAAAGTTGCCTTACTGCTTATTGCATCTTTTTAGGAACAGGTTGGTATATCTCTATTCTGGAGAACATTTCACAGTTCAGTGACGGAAAATAGTTTGCACTTCATTTGTGCATGTACTAATTTTAGATTAAGCAGGACCACATAAATCCTCCTGAAAAATGATGCAATTAAGCCAGACCTATTTGTAAAAAGGACAACATGTGGCTGTAATTATAATGGCAAAGCATTCGGTAACACTTACTAATGTTATTGGTGTGCTGACTTATTAGTGCGCTAAGAGGAGTTTGTGCAACATGCTGAGTAAGTCTTTACAGGAATAAATCTTAATATTTCCCCAAAAGCCATTAAAAACAGTCCTCTGTTGCATTTCTGATCAACTTCCACAGTGATTTGCTTTTTCAAAACAGTAACTTTTGTTGTAAGCAAAGCAGTAAGAGTATTCTGTGCCTGCTGCTATGGTGGGAGTAACTAGTTACTCAATTAGGTTTCTTCCAGAGCAAAACTGTTGTCCAGGAGTCCATATGCACCAAGGTTCTCAAATATATGTTTCAGGTGACCAATAATCTGTAAAGATGCACAGTTGCTCATATTTCACAATACTGTTGCAGTTTAAACGAGGATTTAGATTCCTCAGTGCATTTCTAAACCTTTGGTAGTCCCACAAGAGCAATTGTGGCCTTCCCCAACACAACCTATGATAAAGACTAGCTATGCACTGTCCCTGTCCCTGTCCATGACCACAAAGACTGTGCCCATTATGATCCCAAGTAAGGCAATGAGCTAAGACCATTTCTAACTGTTTATATTCAAACTTAGTTCTCCATCTTTACCTCAGCTGTAAAAATCTGCACTGCTCTGTGAACATCCCTTCTTTATGCTGCCGATAAGTCACACTTTCCTTGTGGTGACTGAAATGTAGGAAGGATTTTGCACTCCTGAGACATGCCTGTCAGGAAAAACAGGACAGACAGAAGTGTCCTAGGAGGGAGAACTGGTCCAATCCATCTAGGATGTTCCCCGGGATATGGAACAGCAGTGATGGAAGTGTCTAATTTTCATATTCAGAAAAATCCACTGCAAGCTCAAGCTCCACAAAATGTGCATAGTAGGTGAGTTTGGGCTCAAACATAGGCTCAGGTCCATATTCAAAGTGTGGTACATACATACCAACTGCCCTGTACAGGGCTTTTTGCACAGTGGTAGTTCTACCACCTCCTTCACATTCAAATGTTCATGTGCTATAAGTTTGGAAGGAGATGTGGACACCTCAGGACCCAATGCCACCAAGTAGGCCAGCGATGGTAAGGCTCTTTTCAGCTCAGCTGTGGAAGTCTGGCTGCCTCATGCAAGAAGGATTTAATTTATTGTTAATCTTTCACTCTCAAATTTTTCTTATGGATGCTATGGATGATAATCCAGGAGAATGATAAAACTTTGCCAATTACCTGTGGAGCATTTAAAAGTAAAAAAAAAAATAAATTAATGTACATTTTTTTATTTTGGATCCCCTGATTCAAAATAAAACTCCTTCTGATTTGCTGCTTTGTTCTCCAACATAACAGGAAAAGCTTATTTTCACAGTTGCATGCCTTCCCCTGAAGTAGATCAGAAAATCCTTCTCATTTCCAAAGGGCTCATTTCCTTCAGAATTAAGACACTGAGTCAGTTGTTTCTTCAGTTCCAATGACCTTTCTTCTCCTATTAGCTGGGGGGCTTGTTTCTTTCACAGGAGAGCACGTAATATAAACATAATCAGCCCTTTCACATCATGTAGCTCTTTGCTGCAGCAGGAGCTTCCTTACTTTGAGATTTAATTTTTTTCTGATGCGCTCCAGCTAAAGTAAGATCAATCCATAAGAAGGCAAAGAATATGAAAGGACCTTAAAGGCTAACATTCATTGAAACATCACCAAAAGTGCACCTGTGTCTTGTCATTTCAAAATTAATATAAGGCAAGGTATGTGATCCCTTTTGGTAATTAATTCAGCCCTCTCAGATTCCCCTTTCCCCTCATGTTAATTAGCACAGAAAATCCTCACACAGACAAACAGAGAAAATAGCCACAGGACTACCCTGTGGAGCAAAGCACTTGCAGGAGGGGAAGGGGCAAAACTCTGCCTTGGTTATTTCAACACCTGAATGCCTGAAGCGTGCAGGTGTGAGGGAAATACTGCAGAAGTGATGCAAGCCTTTAAAAATGCCATCACAGTTTGCCTGAAAATTCAAAATCCTCATTAGTCATATGAATAATTTATCAGCTGCCCCACCAGGCAGGGAAGGGACACTTTTGTTGTGTACTCGACTAGCAATGAGGTCAGTTACCACCAAAAAGGGAAGGGAGAAGCAAAATGTTCCTTAAAAATGGAAATTTGCTCTCAAAGTGTGGTCATTCCTTGCCAGAACTTTACAGAGGTATCATAAAGAGACCAGCCATGGAGGCACAGGGTATCCCTTCCAAGGACTGCTCAAAGCAGTTAATGCACTTTAAAGAATTGCACTGACTTTAATCCACCTCTTATTTGGTTTACATAACAGGTATGGTGTGTGCAGAATTTAAAAAAAAAAAATAAAAAAACTGGTATTAGTAGTTTAGTAGTTAAACATTCTCAAAAATGGATTTTAAATTAACTCGAGGAAGTTTGAAAGTACTGTAAGGAATAAATGTTGCTTTTAATCTTTCAAAGCTCACACTATAGCATTCCTGTTATCTTCTCCTGCCAAGTGTAAGCAGCGTACGGGT